AATTTGTATTTTTTTTTATTGTTGTATTGTTATTCGTTTTTCTGAATATTTTTGATCCATGGTTGGTTGAATCTGCAAATGTAGAACTCTCCCATATGGAAGGGCTAAGTGTGTATCAATAAAGCTCTATCTGTATTCAGTATGTTCTCATCATTCATTGTATTTTGGAAGACTAGCCTTGATCTCGTCTATGGCCATCTTTATTTATGCTCTGGATTCTAAATACTCTCGCTATCTCAAGAACTTTGTTCTTACTGTTATCTTCTGCAGTTATCTTTCCTTTTGCATCACCTGTTTCTATTGGATTATTCCTATTGACATATAATCCTGCCTCTGTAAACCATCTTGTGGGGGGACCAATCCTGATCCCATATTCCCTTTAAGTTACCACTCATTTCTCTTTCCTCTTCAAAATAATATTTCTTAAAAAACTGTCTATAGTTAGCATCTCTTTTTTCCCCCCCACCTATTCCTTCTCAAACTACTTTGTTTGATTTTGTTTCCATCACTTTTACTGTAGTTGCTCATTTCAGGGTCACTAATGATCAGTGTCTTGTCAAAGCCAGTAGTCAGTTCTCTTTTTTCATCCAGCTTGATTTCTTAATAGGCTTTGAATTAATTTAGTTATCTGCTCTTTTTCTTGAGACATTTTTATATTTAAGCTTCTTTGACAGCACTTCACTGGTCATTTCTTTTTAGTTTTGTTTGCATATACTTCCTCTACTAGAAGTTTGTCCATGGCTTTCTCTTTTTGTTAATTTGTGTAGGTCTATGCTGTGTAATAAAATCTTCCGTGATGAAGAAAATAATTTGTATCTACTGTCCAGTATGGTATTTGCTAGCCGTTTGTGGCTGTTGAGCACTTGAAATGTGGCTAGTGCAACTGAAGAACTGGATTTTAACTTTTATTTATATTAATTAGTTTAAATTTAAATAGCCCCATGTAGCTAGTGTCTACTATATTGGGCAGTATATCTCTAGGTGATTTTATCTACTCCCACAGATTTAAATATTGTGTATTTGTTAGGGTTTCCCAAATCTAAATCTCCAGCCAAGACTCTTCCCTTCAGCTACAGACTTGTATACCTGTGTAATTGACATTTCCACTTGGGAGTTTAGTAGACATCTAATTCTTAACATGGCTAAAATAGAATTATTATTGCATCTCCCCTGTGCCCCAGCTCCTTCATATCTGCTCCCCCCTGTGTCTTCCCCGTTTCAATAAATAGTTAATCCTATACAACTAATTGTTAAGACTTGTATTAGGGTTCTCCAGAGAAACAGAGCCAATAGGAGATATTTATTATTATTATTATTATTATTAGGAATTGGCCCATGTAGTTATGGAGGCTGAGAAGTCCCAAGACATGCAGTCAGCAAGCTGGAGACCCCGGAGAGCTAATGGTTTACTTCCAGTCTGAATTTGAAGGCCTGAGAACAAGCAGAGCCAGTGGTGTAAGTTCTAGTCTGAAATATGAAAGGTTCAAGACTCAGAAAGAGCCGATGTTTCAGTATGAGTTTGAAGGCAGGAAAGGATGGATGTCTTAGCTCAAGGCAGTCAGGCATGGGGAGTTTCCTCTTACTTGAAGGGGGATTAACCTTCTTGTTCTATTCAGGCCTTCAACTGATTGGATGAAGGCTACCTTACTAAGGAAAGCAATCTGCTTTACTTAGTCTGCTGATTCAAATGTTAATCTCACACCAAAACACCCTCACAGAGTGAACTAGAATAATGTTTGATCAAGTATCTGGACACCCTGTGGCCCAGTCAAGTTAACACAGAAAGTTATCCATCACAAGACCAAAAACCTGGGAGTCATTTTTGATTTTCCTTTCATATTCATCCACTTTACCAGCAAGTCATATCATCTCTACTTCCAGAATTACCTTGAGTCTGACCAGTTCTCATCTTCTTTACTACTACCGTTCTAATTCAGGTCATTGTCATCTCTTGCTTTATAACTGCAATGGAATCCTAACTCGTGTATTTTTAAGGCATAAATCAGATCTTATATGTCTTTTGCTTGAAATTCTCTAATGGCTTCCCATTGCAGCCAGAATGAAATCTGAATTCTTACCCTGACTTCTGGCTTATGCCTGTTTCTCTAACTTCATCTTCTTCCACCCTCCTTTTTTTCACTTTTGCTCCAGCCACACCACTGGCCATCTTTACATCCTGCAAACAAGTTCTTTGAACCTCAGTTTCCTAATTTATAAAATTGGAACAGAAATATTTCTTTTGGTAGGACTGTTACAGGTATTAAATGTAACTGTATGTGAAAACATATAAAAATTGCAAAGTGATATACAAATGTGAGCTGATGGTACTGATTCTTCTTTTCCAATCCTTATTCTTTTATTTTTCTTGCTTAAATAATTTAGGACCCAGTACAATATTCACTAGAAATGGGAATAGCAGATATCCTTGTCTAGTTCCTGATTTCAGTGGAAAAGCTTGCTGTGGTTTTTAAAAAATTAACACTTTATCAGATTAAGGAAATTAAGCTTATGGTATTATTTTCATTGATATTTAGTAAGATGGCAGATGGTGGGAGGATAAGAAGTTTATGACAAATATGGCCTCTGATGTCAAGGAATCACAAAATAGTAGAAGATATAAGAAACCTTATTTCAAAAGAGTCCTCTGGAACACTTCTTTAAGAAAATCAAATGTATGAATATTTCAATTTATAGGCAGATCTGGATATGGTTATTACATAAAGGGATTTTTTGCTTTAAAAATTTGTTAGAGGTCCTTTTTATTTTTAAAATTTTACTAATTGATTTGAATAGGCATTGTATATACATTCAAAGTAGACTTTATAAAAGATTGTCTTGTAGTCTTTTACTTTTTTTTTAAGCATAAAAGTATTTTTTTAAAGTTCAAAGCTATTGGTGTTTTCCTTGCTTTTTGTTCATTATTAGTTTTAGTTCTTCTGTTTTATGAGTTGGACCCAGTATAAATTAAAGCAGGGGTTGGTAAACTACAGCCTGTGAGCAAGTGCTGCCCACTGCTTTGTACAGCTCATGGTCTAAGAATGGCTTTTACGTTTTTTAATTATCGAAATAATTAAAAAGAATAATATTTTGTGACATGTAAAATTTATATGAAATTTAAATTTCAATTTTTATTGGAACACAACCACACCCATATGTGTTGTCTTCAGCTGCTTTCATTCTGCAGTGGCAGAATTGAGTAGTTGTGACAGACTGTATGTGGTGCTTTTATCAGTTCAGACTCTTGTCGGACAAATCACATCTCATCACTTCAGACTGTTGCATGACCAATCACAGTGATGCTGTTGTAACTTGACAGCATTTTAAGTGCCACGAGTATTGAACTGTGACAATTTTATTTTTTTTTTCCCAGTACAGACCCATCATATAAAAACAAGAAAAAAAAGAGAAGAGTGGAGTTTGAATGTTGCAATTTTAGGGCACAGTGGAGTGTGTACTGTTTTGTTATCAAAATGTAAATCTTTGTGTTTATTATGCAATGACATTATAGCTGTGCTAAAAGAATACAATATATATTGACATTACCATAGTAAGTTCTCATCATTATATTCCCAACTCACAGAAAAACAATGGTCATAAAAATTAGAAAATTTAAAATGGAATATCTCATCATTGCAGACTTTCTTCATAAAAAGTGAAAATGGGGCTTTAGCCAAAGTAAGTTTCTGAGTGGCTTGTTGTGAAGTAAGGAAAGCCATTTACCAATGGTGAGTTAATTAAATTGTGTATGATTGCAGCAGCAGAAGAAAATATCCAGAGAAGTATACTTATTTAACACTAGTAGCCTTTCAGCAAGAACAGTTGCTTGAAGAATTGAGAAAATTGGGAGCAACGTGAATAGTCAATTAAAAAACAAGACAAATGATTTCAAGTGATCTTCCTTGTCTCTTGATGAGTTGACAGATGTTACTGATACCACTCAATTATAGTTTATTTGAAGTGTCAACTCTGAGCTTGAAGTGACTGAAGAATTAGCCTCTATAAAAAGTCTGTGTGGAACACCATCAGGTGAGAGTATTTTCAAAGTTGAGAAAACACCAATTTACTACAACCTGAAGTGGAACTGCAAAGACGTATTATAACTATTGGTGGTAAGAATGTGTGTGTAGCAGAAAAAGGCTTGGTTGGACAAATTTACAAAGCTCATGAAACTGTAAGGTGTTAAATTCTATGGTTATTCATTGTATGATTCAACAGCATATATTTTGCAGAGCATATTTGAATCTGTCATTGTGTTTTTGAACTAGTAGTATCAAGGGGAACTTAATTTACTCTCATGGACATTAACCATTGTCAGTTATGTGAACTTTTATCAGAAATAGAAGTTGAATATCTTGACTAGCTCTACCACACAGCAGTTTGATGGCTTAGCAGTAGTAAAGTTTTATTGTGTAATATTTAAAGCTCAAGATCGCAGATTAAAATATTTCTGAATGAGAACCACTTTCAACCACTGTATTTGAATACTGACTGGCCTTGGAAATTGGCTTCTGCTACAGACTTGAAAATGGTTCTTAATGAATCCAGCCTAAAATTGCAATACAAAGCAATGCATATACGCAAAACCTATACTGTGATAAAGTCATATGGAGAACAACTAACATTGTAATGACAAAAAGTAACTTAAAAAAAAGTGCTATGAAAAGTTAAAACAGGAAGCAAGATCACCACTCCCACACAAATTTGCAGCAGATGTATTATCTGAGCTCAAACTATAGTTTCAGTAGCATTTTTTAGACCTCAGTGCAAGTGCAAAGGAATTTTTCATATTTCTAAACCATTTAATTATATAATTGAAGAGCTTCAATCTTTGGAAGTGATTAATTTGCTATGTAATGACAATCTAAAAGGCAAATATCAAGAGAAGACTATAATATAGGGTTTTATAAATGTCTTCCCAATGATGAATCTGCTCAGTTAAAATCATGTGCTTATGGATTGATATCAATATTTGACAGTATTTACCTGTGTGAAAAAACATTTTAAAAAATCAAATGTATAAATTCTTATTACAGATCAGCATTAATGGATTATCATTTGCAATCAATTTTGATGATGGAGAACACTTAACTTTGACCCTCAATTAAGTGAAATATTATCCATCCCCCCAAATACTCCATTCTTTTCACTGGTAGACCTAAATTACAAAAAATTGAACTTAAGTAGTGTTATTAAACAGGTTGAGCATCCCAAATATGAAAATCTGAAATGCTGCAGAATCTAAAACTTTTGAGTGTTGACATGTTTAAATCAAGTTATAACTCTTTTTTATTTCTATATGAAATAGTATTCCTATTTATATTGGTTAAATATTTTTAGATAAAACCCAGAAACCTAAATAAATTTGTAAAGCAGACATTGACATTCATAAATGGTATCCTCTGAAATGTGCTCCACTATGCCAACTTATAGAAGCAAACAAATCTTAGAAATGTTTGATTTTGAAAAGTTATTAGTATTACTTTCCAAGTCCTGCCTCAGGTACAATAATACAGATTTTCAAAAGGTTTTCTTTATTAAGTGCTCAATATCTTGACGGTTGACTAACTCAACAAAATATGTATTTCTTTCCTTATAAACAGAGAACTTTACTACCAATGTATAAAAATATAAAAATAGATTTGGTATTAATTTTGTAAATTAATGTGGGTAGGGTGTTGAAAGGAAAGAGAAATAATAGAAAGTAATGTTTCTGAAAACATTTAAAAATATATTTTTAAATTTGGAAAAGTGTGTTATTCTATATAGTCTATTTATTTTTTTCCTAAATGGCTTGTAATATATAATACAGGCAAAAATATGAACTATATATGGATAAGGTTGAGATAATTTTTGTCTCTACACATTATTTAAATTTAGAGAAATCCTAAAATGAGAAAGTTTTCTTGTGTTTGCATAATGTATAGTGTTTGGCATGATTTTTTCTTATACCTAAGAATCTTAATATTTGATTTAAATCTTGTTTTCTAGATGAAGCATTGGATGATTTAAAATCCCAGAAGAAAAAAATAGTAAGTTAACTTTTATTTAAAGTTAATTTATATAAGACTAATAAGTTAAGAACTGAATAATTAATGTTTATATGTTGTAAGTTAATGACTCTCCAAGGAACAAGTATGCTTTTAGATAGCATTTTAATGATGAAGCTAAATTATGAATATTTTTGCTACTTAATAATGATTGACAGGAAAAAATAGTTTATTTGGACTTTTGAGATTCTGAGACTCTGTGTCAGTTGGAAGCTGAGAAGTAAGTAAATGAATCATATTGGAGGACTAAATGAGGCAGAGAGGGTAAAAAGGTGGGTGCCCAGATTGTTTATTAGAACCAAAAAAAGGACCAGATATCTATATATATCAGTTCTCAGGTTTTCTTGATACCATAAGGCCAAGAGAGAGGGAGTCAGGAAGATTGATTATAAGAGACAAATTCAACATGAAAAGATTGAAGAAAGGGAAAGAGAGAGAGAATTTTTTTCTTCAGTTTCTTCCACTTTCTATCAGCAACTCTGATCAAATGGATGTGTACTGTGGGGCTAGTTAAATGCATCCTTCAGATGCCTTGGAAAGAGGGCTAATAGTAAGAGAGTAAGGGCCCAAGCTGGGCGCAGTGGTGCTCCCAGCCACTTGGTAGACTGAGGTGGGAGGATCCCTTGAACTCAGGAATTCAAGGCCAGCCTGGGCAACATAGCAAAACCCAGTCTCTTTAAAAAAAAAAAAAAAAAGAGAAAGAGAAAGGGCTATAAATGTTTAGAAGTTGATATGTAAGAGTCTATAATAAGTGAATTGGTCTTAGAATTACTTATGTTTTTGATATGATTATTTTTGAAATGTGAAAATGGTAATTGGTGATAGTATTATGTTATATGGAAACTTATTTAATGAAATTTAATCAGATGCAAGTGATCAATATATTTTAGTCTAATATGTAACAAGTGATTATGAAAGTAATAAAAATTATGACAGTTAAGTTAAAAATTATACTGTGAATTGGTGATAAAAGACACTGATCTTGAAGGTTTTTAAGTACCTGAAAAGTAAAGGAACTTTAATTCTGGAGGGATTCCTTAGCTTTGTTTGTTTGATCATTCTTTGGTATTCTGTGAGGTATTTATCAAAATTATATTGGCAATTTCAATAGTCCTAAATTGAAACATAGAGATATCTTATTGTGTTTCTGTCATTCTACACGTTACAGAACAGCCATAAATTCAAATTGAGGGACTACTGATGGTCTTAGTGATATAGAAGTTGTGATATGATTGGTTTGATTTGCTGATGAGATATTAATAAAAAGAGGATCTTGTAGTGGTGACCAGAGCCAAGCCCTGCTTGTACCAAAATGGAGAAATATTGGTTAAAGTAGAAAAGACAAAGAGGAAGACAAAAGAAAAACAGAAAAAAAAAAAGAAGAAAAAATTTTAAGTGATGAGAAGCAGCCCAATGTTAGAGACATCACATGACCAGAAAACAGAATGTCGAAACAGATATGATTGGGGAAAATCTCTCAATAGAGTAACAGAGAAGACTTGGAATATTCTGTGAAAGGGCAGCCCAAGCTATTTACTACTTTTTAATAGCCCTTGAAGGAATCACAACATAAAAGATGCTTCATCTAAGTCTGACAACTGTTGGGAAATTCGGTTCAAGGTTCAGTAGCTCTGTATATCTAAATGATTCATGAGGCATCGGTATTATAGGATAATTCAGTATAGCATTTCTCTTGAAGTATAACTAAGAAAAATGTATTGGCTCTAATTCACTTTATTAATTAGAGAACACAATTTGCATTGACTTGATTGTTGGTTGGTTATAATACTGTTGCTATTGGAACTAGTCCCTGGTCTTTACTGCTCAATCCCTTAACAGAGATGCTTTGTTTGAGTAGCTTTACACTTTGGGAAAAATAGGTGTTGAGGATAAATTAGTAAGGAGCCCAGTGCTAACTAATGATCATGCTAGTAGTGAGAAGCAAAAGAAGGGACTGACTTTTGAGGAACAGCCAGACATAATCAAAACTGATCTTGTTCATTGATGTTTAGGTTTAAATGCTGCAGTTGTAGTTTTAAAATACTTTTATTATTGAAATGACTGCAAGAAAAATAGTTCTTAACAGTCTAAAATTATCTAAGTTCCAACCTTTCTCTTTCATTAACAAAATTAATACAATTAATACTACTACTTTTTTGTTATATGTGGTTTCCTTAGGCATGCATCTCTTTAATTTGAATAGATTTGTAAAATAATTTGAAATTTGTAAAATTGTAATTTATAATGATGAATATGAATTAATCAATTGTTTAAAAAATTAAATTACTTAGGAAAATGAGTAGCATCTTAACAATGTTGTAAATTTTAAGAGCTTACTATAAGTATTTAGTTATTTAAAATAAAGTTAGGAATGAATCTTTAGTTATCTAAGAAATTTCCAAGACCAAATGTATAGATTTTACCAGTCACATATTTTATGGTCCTTCAAAAAATCATCGAGTAATCTGTGCAATAGATAATCTCTCTGCATCCATGAGCATTCCTTCCAAGCAGTACAAAATCAAGTTCCTTCCAAATGCACAAGTCAAAATTACCTCTTTAAGTGCTTTCATGAAAATTCTGTGCTTTTTCTGGAGTAATATTTCTATGTGGTAATTTCTTTCTGATATTTCTCAGGAAATTTATATTTTTGTGAATCCTGAGAAAAATCAATTGAGAATCTGGGAATATGGAGAAAAATGTTGTAATTCTCTGAGAATTAAAGCTTAACAATCAGCTACAATTGTTAGTGGTTCAAAGGAAGCCACTCATGTCAGTTGAAAGCAAGAGTAAGAATGCCAACATGCTGAGCTGCAGGTTAATGTTGACTTTCTGGGAACAGGACAGAGGCATGTAGAAGGGAAGTGGCACAATCTAATCAGTTAGTCTTGCTTTTGTTGCCATGTTATAAGTGTGTTTTTATGGCCCTCTTTCTTATTAATAGTCATTCATGCAAATAAATGTTAGTACGTTTATACACATACTATAATTTACATAAATTTATAAAGCATACTTTATAGAAATCCTATGAATGATACTCCATGAAATAAGTTTTAGAGTCAAAAAAAGTTTTTAAATTGGCAATTTTAGCATGTGATTCTTTGTAGGGCTGTTAACCTTACTAGCAGTTTCAAATATTATACTTTTATAACAAGCCAGTAATAGTTGCTGGCTTTTTCTGGTGTTGGGATATAGTGATATAGGCTATAGAGTAACAGAAGAAATGTGAAGAGGAAAAATGTGACTATTATTGAGGAATACTCCTATATGAAATCAGAAAATGATACAAAATCTGAATTAGTAAAAACATTATCAGTTTCAACAGCAAAACCAAAATCAGGGTAAACAGAAAATATTTCAGCATGATAAAAGGATGAATTCGTATGATATAACATGTTTCCTAATGCTCTGAATTGAAGATACTTTTGGATGCATGCTTAATAATTTGATGAAAGTCAATGCAAAATGAAAGTTTTCTATATCTGGAATATTTGTCATGAACAAATATTGGTTATTGGATAGGGCAATTAATGTTTTGTGTGTTTTAAAATTTTATTTGAAGAATGACAATTTCAGTATTAAATATTCGTAGACTTATTAAAGATTTAAAAGATTTTTTTGACATTCATTTTGTGTTAGTGTTCCTTTCTTTTAATATTTTCTATGATGAAATGGCTATTTTCAAGTAGAAATAATTTTTTACATGTTATTGAAATATATAATCTCATCACAATAATGCTGATTTATAATAATCAACCATTTATTTATTATTTTATCTTTTTAAATAAAAAGGCCCTGAAACTTTTAGTATAGCCATACTACAGAAAAACAATTCACTTTGTGTAAAAATAATTCACTCATTATGTTTAAAGTACAATATAAAAAATACAGAATGACTCATGACTTAGGGAATTCCTGAGAATTCTAATTTCTCATTCCTGAATCTTGAGATTAATATATTGAGTATTTAGAAATACTATTTGTTTCAGACCCACTCTGAATAATTGAGATATCACTGAAAATTATGTTAGTGTTTTAGCAGCTGTTGTAGACTCTTTCTCATATTTTATTTAAGTTGCCCAGTAGTACTATGAAGATAATATTAATATATCTGTCTTACAAAAGGAGAAACTGAGGCTAACAAATGTGCCCACGATCTTTCTGAGAATGGAAATGTGCTTTGAACCTAGATCTTTTCTGACTTCGAAATTTCAAGTTCATATTCTTTCCATTGATCAGTGTCTGTTTAAAACATGTTATTAACTTAAAATTTTGTATGGATAAGTGTGTTAATTAAGCTATTATGTGAAAACATTTTGTTAGAAGTAAATGCAAAAGAAAAGGGGACTAGATTTGCATCTCTTAGTGCTTTTAAAAATTTTATTTAAGATAAATAAATAAAACATAGGCACATGAATACTCGCTGAATAATGTTCCAGGAATTGCAATCATTTGATGAAGTAGCATTTTGGTTTTGAGTTTTGTGTGTTGTTTTAAAGATTACCGTTGTGTCTAATCTTCTTTTAAAACCTAGTGGTAGTCTTAGTCTAGAGCTTTGCTTTCTGAATCAGTGGCCATTAGCCCCATGTAGTTGTTTAAATTTACCTTATTTAAAATGAAATAAAACTACAAATTCAGTTCCTCAGTTGCACAAGCAACATTTTAAGTGCTTATTTATTGCATGTGGCCTAGTGGCTACCATTATGCTGACATAGACCATTTCCATCATTATGTAAAGTTTTATTGCACAATACTGGTCTAAAACATCAAACATCTAATTTGTAGAGATCAGGGATTTGGCATTTTGATATGTAGATTGTCATGGTTTGGGGATGTATTCTATCATGCCCTCTATCTACCTCCATTCCTAGTTTTTTTTTTTTTTTTTTTACCAGCTCTAAAGTGATACCGTAAACGTTTTCTTTACATCAGAAAAGTCAACTTACTTATTTGGAGAATTTATCATAATTTTGAAATAGTTAGGAAAATATTTTAGTTTCACTAAAATAAGGTTAAAAAATGATTCATCTAAGCACCTAGCATCTTGTATGTTGAATTGAGTGTTTAATGAGGAAGCTGTTAACTGCCATTGTGGCAGCATATTAATATTTTAAACTATGTTTTTAACTCAGTAAATGTGTTCTGGATTGCATTTTAAAATAAAAGTCCTTTGGAATGAATATGACATTTAATGAATCTAAGTGGCTATCAGTTGTCACTGAGAAGGAAAAGGTTCTGTTCCAATTTTTGTAAAAGCACTTTATTCTACATGTTAGGTAATTTGTCATATTTATGACTGTCTTGTACTACAGTTCACCTTTTTCTGATGTTGGGCCATAACTGCTAAAATGATACTTTACTAGTGATTATATTTTAAGTTAAACCCATGTATTAATTAAGCTATAAAGTGATTTGATTACATTGTAAATAAAATGCTGTAATAATAAAGTGTTTTAATTATAGTCCTTAGTATGAGTGTAAAACTCAGTAAAATTTTTACTTAAATACTATGTTCAGTTTTTTTCCTCTAAATTTGCTTGAATCTAAATAAAAAAAAAGGGGGAGGGTTTATCTTTTAAAGTCATTTGAGTAAATTCCATGGCTGTTCTCCCAGTTAGTGAGTTTTCATTGCATTTGCAGCAAGCTAATTGCTTGTGCTAATAAATAATCTAAAATCGATGCTGACAGCAGTTAATTGGCACAGAGATTTTATTTTGTAAAGCTCTTGGCTAACGACCTTCTTTAAATTAATAGCATTAAGTGCTATGAGGAAATAAATCTGAGGAATTGCCTGTCATTTGCTTGTCATGTCTAATAACTTCCAATAATGATGGCTGATAGATTTTTGCACATTCCATTATTGAAGTTGGTGCATGTAATTATTCTCCTCATTATATGTAAACAATTAGCAATATTTGGTATTTCCTTGCAGTAAAGCTGTTAAATACAAGTAACATATTAGAGGTTAGAAACCATTTTAAAATCTGGATTTTAATTATTTGGATGTAGAAAATCTTTCATTCTATCTGGATATATTATGTGTTATTTATTTTAAGCCTTGTACTTGGATGCTTTTTGAATAGGACTTACAAAAATAAGTAGTATGTGTGTTTTAAAATGTGACAATTTGTGGAAATTTTTGTTCATAGCTTGAAGAAGTCATGGAAAAAGAAACTTATAAAACGGCTAAATTAATTCTTGAAAGGTTTGATCCAGACTCAAAGAAAGCAAAGGTAAGGCTGTGATATCACTACTATTTTATTATAAATTACACATTGTAATAGGTCACTGTAATAACATGATTGTAATTGACAGGAGTTTGAGCCGCCATCTGCTGGAGCAGCTGTAACTGCAAGACCTGGACAAGGTAAATAACTTTGTAGAAACTCCTGCTGCTGTTGGAAAGATCCATATTTACCCAAGTGAGTTCAAAAGTGTGTTGGAGGTGTGTAAAAACTTACATAGAATGCTTTTATGTTAGCTTATATTTGGTAATTTGGGCTTGACTTGGGGTAGATGGCAATAATTTTTTTTTCATTTTGATTTGGGAATATATGTTGTGGAATTTGGGAATATGTGGGAATATGTTGATAAGCTAGGATATCACATATCTGTTGATTGGTTTTATATGTATAACTTGCCTTTAATCTTTTGAAATTTAAGTAATTTCACTAATATTTTATAAGATTTTTTTCCCCTTTCAAATAATAATCTCTTGGAGTATCTGTTATCACAAAAATCCTTACATTTTTATGTTTTGTTTTTGAGAAATGTAATGAAGATTTCTGTTAAATTTGAAGTTTCTTCTAAAATAACACTTATTTAGGAAAAGAATAAAATAATTTAGGAATAAGAAAAAAGAAAATTGAATTACTGCTAGATAATAATGTTAACGCTTTCTTTTTGAGGTTGCATTACCATTATTAATAAAGCCATCACTATTACATCATTAAATATTATGTAAAATTTTAAAAGCCATTATTTTAAGTGGTTACATAAAATATTCCCAAGACTGGCATATGAAAAGATATTTTTGAGTTTGCAAGGCTTTTGTCTTTGTTCTTTTCTCTATCTAATAATATAGTTCGTAAGGCTTTTATTGCAATGTAGAATATACTGCTTTTAGAAATTTAACACCAGTTTTTTCAATTCATCAGAATTATAGCCTGCTTTGTAAAGTTAGGATGACATTTAAACTTTCAAAAGGAAATCCTTGGCTAGGTGTGATGGCTCATGCCTGTAATCCTAGCACTTTGGGACACCAAGGCAGGAGGATCCCTTGAAGCCAGGAGTTCCAGACCAGCCTGGGCAACATAGTAAGACCCCATCTCCAAAAAAAATTTAAAAATTAGCTGGGCATGGTGGCACACTCCTATAGTCCCATCTACTTAGGAGGCTGAGGTGGAAGAATCACTTGAGCCCAGGAATTTGAGGTTACAGTGAGTTGTGATAAGGCCACTACACTCCACTCTGAAATCCTTTTACCCTTTTATAAATATCTTCCACAAAGACCATGGATATTGAATTATAATGGTTTTAGGTGTTCTCATTTGCAGGGCTATGTGTGATGAACCTCCCCACTTCCACATCCTCCATAAATAGGATTTTGGTTTATAGAAATATTAACCTGTTCTTTTTTGTTTTTTAGCCTGCTCTTTTGATGATTACATATGATTGAAATATGTATGCTCACATATGATTGTTAGGCATATATGCTTGCAATGAAACTCCTGCTTTCATAACAAGTTTAAATTTTTCTACAATTTATACTTCTTTCTAGCAATAATAAAAAATAAGGTTTTTTGCCTAAAGACCAGGTTTCTATAATTTCTAAAGCATTTTGTATAACTGGTACTAATTTTTCAAAAATATTTTTAGTTGAACTCATGGAAGCAGAGAGTAGAATGGCTGTTTCTAGGAGTGTTGGGGGAGGGATAGAGGAAATGAAGTTTTGGCCAAAGGGTACAAAGTTTCAGTTATGTAGGTGAATAACTTCTAAAGATCTAAGGTACAACATGGTGAAAATAGTAATGCTGTATTGCATACTTGAAATTTACTGAGAGAGTAGATCTTAAGTGTTCACACCACACACACACACACACACACACACACACACACACACACACACAAAGGTAACTGAGTTGATGGACATGTTAATTACTTGACTAGTAATCATTTCACAATGCATAAAAATACTTTTAAATTAACTTTAGTGGAGATATATTTAAAATGTGATGTTTTAAAGTCATAGCTGTTACTTTTTAAAAAAATATATTCTGTCTTATTAAAAAAGAAAAGACTTATCCCTTTTACTAATATTCTTAAGTATTTATTAATATTTAGGTAACATAAGTTATTTTAAGAATCTAAACTTATCTTTTCTTAGTAACTTTTGAAACCCAAATAAATTTTTTCCATCTGATGTCATGTTGAAATTATAGAGAAATGATTCCTGGTCTCTGCTTTGTATTCCTGTGGCACTGCTTTTGGATATTCTTTTATGGAGACTTAACCTTTAGCTATAAGATAAATGAATAGTTCATTTAAAAAAAATTATTGAGTAACAGTTACGTGCAGACGCCATGGGGAATAAAGAGATGAATGTAACATAGTTTTTGATCTTAAGAAGCTTATGACCTATATTTTTTTCTGTTAAAAAATATTTCTTCTATGGTTCACTATTCTAGCATTTCTCGCTTTTCCAAGTGTGTAGTAATTAATTGCTTTTTGGCATTTTCTTTTTAAAAATTCTAGATTATATCCCAACTTTATTCTACTTCTGGAGAATTATACTTCTGTTGTTTAATTTAATCCTGTTTAGTTTCCTATCATTTTTATAGGTGACTTAGTCATTAATTTGTTATGTGTTTCCGTGAGTTTAAAGTCTTTATTTCATTTCTGAACCACTGTTTGTTCATTTCTTCTTTCTTTCCTTCTCTTTTTCTTTCTAATTTTGTTTTTTGAATTTAGTCTGTTTCTGAACTTAAACAATAGAAACTGGGGAAAAAATACTTAAAGATATAGGTATGTACATATGTAGCCCTTGAAAAGATCTGCCCTCCAAAATGAATCTAATTGTGATGTCCTTATTTTACAAGCATATATTTGGAAGGTAGAAACCTGTCCCGACCCGCGGGGTAGTCAACGCGGACCCTGGAGGAGGGAGTGGGAATTGGGAGAGGCAGGAGACACAAGAAATGGAGACAAGACAGGAGTCTGATCAAGTCTCGTTTATTGGCAGGAAGGCAGAGGCTTAAGTAAGGCAGAAAGAATAACAGTAAAGGGGCGGTGCTTTCCGAGGCTCTGGCTTTCCGGCCAGAGGGTTTCTATATAAGGAAACCCTCAGGAGCTTTCAAGGGCTACATAGTTATAATGGGTAAATAGAAACTTACAAGCTCTTCGGCAGGCTTTGCAAATGCGTGGGCTTGGTAAGCAGCTGCCGGGCCTCATGGCTCCGGACAGAAACCAAAGGATTTCTTGATGGATTGGATATGGAGTCAGAGAAGGAGAAGTCAGGATGGCCTCAAAGATTTTGGCCTGAGTAACTGGAAAAAGGGAGTTGCCATTTACCGAGATGATGGAAATTGCAAAGGAAACACGTTTTGGAGGGAGTCTTACATAGGGTGGTGAAGAACAGGGCTTGATTTGGGACATGTTATGTTTGAGATGCCCATTAGCCAGACATCCACTAGAGATTTCAAGAAAATATTTGAACATGAGTTTGGCAAACAGGAATTATCTAGGCTGGAGATATAAGTTTGGTTGTCATTAGTATGTGGGTGGTATTAAAACCATGAGACTGGATGAGGTTACCAAGGAAGTAACTACAGAGGAAGAAGATAAGAGGACCAAGGGGCATGCTTTCTAACACTAAGATGTTAGGATAATGAAGAGAAATCAGAAAAATAAACTGAGAAGAAATGGTCAGTGAGACAGGAAACGCAGGAGAGTATGGAGCCTGGACCTAAGTAAAGAGAGTGTTTCAAGGTAGTGATCATCTGTGACAAATACTGCTGCCAAGTAAATTGAGGGTTGAGTATTGAACACTGATTGTAGCAATGTGGAGGTCCTTGGTGACATTGAAAATAACAGTTTTGATGGAGGGATGGGTGCAAAATCCTGATTAGAAAGGATGGGGGTAAAAAAGAGGCAATGAGAAGAGACTACTTTTTTGAGTAAAAGGGAATAGAGAAATGGGTGGCTGGAGGGGGAAGCATTTTGTGTGTGTGGGCAAACATACTGTATGAAAGAAATAATAGCATGTTCGTATGGTACTGGGAATGGCTCAGAACACATGGAATAATTGATGACATAGGAGACAGTGGGGACAATTGATTTGGAGCTATCCCTGAGTAAGCAAGAGGGGATGTGATCTAGTGTACAAATGGAGAAGTTGGCTTTTGATAGTAGTGTGACAGTTCATCTCTAGTAACAAGGTAAGTCTGAGAACATGGGCAGATATAGGTAGGTGGTGGGAATTGTCTTCTGATTGTATCTGTTTTCTTAGGGTGATGTTGGAGGGAGATAATATTGGGAGCTTGAAGGAAAGATATAAAATGACTGTCTTAGAGAGTGAGAGACTAAATGAATTGGGGAAATATAGGAATGCCAGAGGACCCAAAGCCCACTTAAAATTAATAGTCATAAGTTTAAAGCATGATTCTTTGTGGTTTTCTAGTTATGTTCACCTGCATGGGTGCGGGCATGGAGTAGGCAGATAGTTGGTTTTAACCAGGGTTGAGTTTTGCCTTATGAATTAGATGAGGTGATAAAGGGGCCAGGAGATAAAGTTGTTGCAAGGGAGTGATTATGACAATAGATTATGGAATTTAGGATGATCATGAGGGAAATAACGATATGAAAGGTGGTGATAGATATAGTTAAAAGGTGTTGGTAATATTAATATAGAAATCTGCAAGCGTGGGCCAAGACCTGTTTTTTATGGCTTTTTAGTTTAGAAAGCCTTTACATTTTCAAAGCATTCTAAAAAATACCAAAGAAGAGTAAGAATATGCAAAGCCTAAAATGTTTACTTCTGGCTCTTTACAAATAAAGTTTACTGACTGCTTAATAATTAATGGATTATAGATCCCCTTGGAGTTGAAAGAAGTAAGCTGGAGAGGTAAGTGTGGTTTGAGAGCTGTATCAATTCATAAGGCAAAGTATCCTTAAACTTGAGAGGGATCAGTTATTGTTAGTGCAATGTTATAGGATAGGTTATGACCACAGGAGTGAATGATTGAAGTAGGAAGAATGATCAGATTATTAGAGGTTGCCACCTGATAGCTAAAAAAGAATCCTTAGCAGACCCTCCTATATTTTTTTTAAAAAGAAATCACCTATACATTCTCTTTTGCCTTTGTACAC